AGCTCTGGAATATTGTCACAAAAAGAGAAACTCGGCAACCATCGATTTCATCTGGTCAGCTTTAGCAAAATACTGTTTTATATTAAATCTGTAAATTACGCAAAGGAAATAACGTTTTTTCCTGACGTCGAGTGCCTATTTTGAAATAGGCACCAGTTCAGAAAGGATCTGGAAAAAAAAATCTTTGACAGAATTTATTGATCGTAATACAAAATTTAAATTACGACCAATAAATTCTGTCAAGACGAGAGAGCGTCCAAATTGGGGGACAAGGGACCAGACAGGTCTCTCGTCTTGATTCCTTTTCTAACAAATCGCCCTCTCTCTCTTCGCCTTCTGTTCCCTCACTTCAGAAATTCACAGGTAGAAGCAAAACGCAAGCCGCGCAGCAGCAATCAGCAGAGCCCCTAGCTTTGCCTCGCTGCGCTCGCTTGCATCTTCTTCCTGATCCACTCCTCCGTCGCCATGATGGCCTGGCCGGAAGAACCGCAGCCCCATAATGGTAACGGCGAGTGGCCCGACGCAGAACTGTTCGAGTCCGCCAACTTCTACCCGTCCGACGCCAGTGATGAGCGGGCACAGCATGGTGCCAACAACTTCCTGAACACCGCCAACCAAGACACTGGAGGATCTGCGGGCCTTACATACTCAGCGTCATGCCCGTCATTCTCAGGGATGGACGACACCGACGAGTTTATGGGCGGGACTGCTGGTGGCAATGGCCTCATGCCCTACCCGTTCGACTCGCAGGAGCCACTCATGGATGCATTGGGCCAATCTGAGGACACATCGTTCCCTAACGACAAGAACTATGACATGCTGCTGCAGTTCCAGCAGGAATACCAGAACTCCTCGCAGCGCCAGTTCCCGCATCAGCAAGTGATGGGGCACCCCATGGACTTAATGCAACAGCAGCAGATGTCCGGAGGAAGACGCGGCTTCCACGGCTCGCAATCATTCACCAGTCTGTCCAATATGGAATCCGAGTATAACCGAATGAATGGTGCGGCGTCCTGCGATCTTGAACTCGTGCTTGGTGCTGAAACGGCTAACACAGTATGTATGTGGTTGTGAACAGCTAATAGCAAGAGAAAGAAAGGAACCGAGCGATGGATGAAGCTGCAGCGTCACAAATCCTTTGACTCCTCGACGCCCATTTCGGATTCTTTTAGCTTTGATCCCAATGCGACTTTTGGCAGCGCGTTCGGGTCATCGAACCCCACGCCCGACCAGCTGCTCCAAGAGTGCGTGTTGCTTGGTATTTCGCTTATGAGTGCTAATGCTGAACTAACTTGTAACTCGGTAATGATGTGCAACAGACCACCGGATAGTGACATGATTGGATTCTCTATTGACGACTTCCCACCTTCGATCCAATCCAATGACCCAAATTGGCCTCCAGTCGCGTATGGATCCGCACCGAGCGCTATCGGTGGGAATTATATGCAGCAGGCGCACCAGAAGCGTCACCAGCAGCAGCAGCATCATCATCATCATCATCATCATCAAGCTTCTATGCAGTCATTGAGTGACGCTAGTGGTGATAATTCGGTATCCTCATCGGCAGAAGTCGAACCTGTGTCGGAGTTGGACATGCTACTGTCGGAGAACGAACGAGCGAACCTTTTTGATGCTATTCGCGATTTCGAGTCGCCTAACGTGATGGATGCCCAGCCCTCACCTGAACAACCTCCTCAGCAGTCTGCACAAATATCACTGAACGAAACGAAGGAGCAGAGCGGCGCGTCTTCAACGGAGAGAAAGAAGACGACAGCTAGCTCTTCGATCCACCCTGGAAGTCACCAGAAAAGCCTAAATAATGCTCCGAGACCGCTGACGTTGGACTCGTCTTCGTTAGCTCCTCCAGCTGGGATGCCTCCCTCCGGTTGTGTTCCGATGCGTACGCGTCTCCACCAGATTCTGGTGCATTCCGTGCAGAACTCGGATGCTGGGTCTTCGTTGTCGTCTTACGAACGCAATTACCTGATGCAGTCGCCGTTGTTTTTCCCAGCCAAAGCACCCGAGACGGCTGGATCCCTGTGGCTATTGTTGCACGCAGCGCAGTGTGAAAGCGGTTGTGAAATAGGCGGATGCAGTGTTATGCGTCGCGTGCTGAATCACTGTCTTGGATGCGAACTCGTTGTTGGCAAGTGCAAACAACCCTGTAACGACGCCAAGGCGATGCTTCTTCACTATGGTTCATGTAACAGCAAGGGTAGTATGCATGGACGTTCATGTTCAGTTTGCTGGAATTTACTGGAGATCGACTATTCCCACCAAGCGCTGAGCAATGGCAATGGAGGTGGACGTTCCAATGGCCAGACACCGAGCACCGCTCCGTCATCGTTCGTGTCGACGTCACCGTCACCGTTAATGGGGACACCACCGCTTGTGCCAATGCCTATGAGCCCTGGTTTGGGAAGCTCACCAGCATACCGTTCACCATCGAGACGCTCGACAAGTTGCTCAGGCACCACGAAGCATGTGCCTATACAGCCGAATCCGCTTCCGACGGCTTCGAACCCGATGGGGCTTATGGGTGCTTTACCTCCCCATTTCGGGTACTCCCTTTCATTGTATTTGGAGCAGACATCTGCTCCGTTCCGCGCAGAAGTCAAGTCTCGTGTCGAGAAGCGCGTGACTGCTGCCGCCGGCCAAGACTTGCTGCAACACATGCAGAAGAAGACGCGATTGCGTAGTCTGGACGACCTCCGCTCCGAGGCTCGAACTATTGTGCTGGGGGAGATGGAGCGGGAACTTCACCTACATATGCAAGCGTACAATTGGGCCAATTCGACCTCGAGCGGCAGCTTGCCCGAGGGATCGTCGCAACTTCCTCCGTATCTGCTGAACTTCTCGGTGGCTGGATTCGGTGCCTTTCAAGCTCAGCAGGCTGCGTTCCAGGCGGCTGTAGCCACAGGATCGTCACTACCACCTGCAGTGCCATCAACTTCGCCGCCGGTGGGTGCTCGACGATCCGCCAAGCTCGCCCCCAGTGGTAGTCCGCCGAAGGCTCCTGCACGCGAGAAGTGAACTGGCAAGAGTTTTTGAAGTGTCATGTGATGAAAAGTGGTAATTTATTCCGTCAATAATTAATTGTACCTAAATGCTCGTTCATTGGCCATCGAATTGTCTGTTGTGTGTTCTTATTGGCTGAAAGTTGCTTATCACACCACCAAAATCGGGTTGTCATTTTGCAGATCAAAATGTTGCGAGCGAAGCTGACGCCGCAGGTGCCTCGCCTGACACGAGCTCTGAGTGCCTCTCGTGCCCCGCAGACGGAGTATGACTATCTGGTAATCGGTGCCGGAAGTGGAGGTATGGCTAGTGCACGTCGTGCTGCCAGCTACCCTGGTACGCGCGTGGCGGTCGTGGAGCAAGCCCGGCTGGGTGGCACCTGCGTCAACGTAGGCTGTGTTCCCAAGAAACTCATGTTCATTGCCGCTGACATGAGTCACAAACTGGACCACGACTTCCTGCACTATGGCTTTGAGGACGAGGCGACAGGGGAACATTTGGGCAAGCGGACTCACTTCGACTGGATGAAGCTCAAGGCTCGTCGTGACGCCTACGTTCTGCGTCTTAACGGAATTTACGAAAGGTATGATGCTGGTTGGTGGTATTATCATGGCCGTAGAGATTACGTAGTGTTAGCTGGATCTGATGGCGATGTCATTTTGCATGCTGCAGGAACTTGGCGAATTCCAAAGTGGAGTTGATTCGAGGATCGGCAAAGTTTAATGAGAATGGGAATGTGGAGGTGGACGGCAAGGAGTTGCTGGCCAAGAATGTTCTGATTGCAGTCGGAGGCAAACCGCTGATTCCTGACATTCCGGGTGCGTACTCACTTGGTAAAGAACTTGATCTCTGGTAGTCTCTTAACTTTAATCCTGTCACTCGCAGGCAAGGAACTTTGCATCGACTCGGACGGGTTCTTTGAGCTGGAGATTCTCCCCAAGAAGGTGGCGGTCGTTGGCGCCGGTTATATTGCAGTAGAACTGGCGGGTGTGCTCAATGCGCTAGGCTCAGACACGTCGATCTTTTGTCGCAAGGAGGGTGTGCTCCGCTCGTTTGATGTACGTTGCATGGAATTCTGACCTGCTCATTACCGGATCAAGTGGCTTATCGGTTATTTCTTGACTGCAGGATATTGTGCGTACAACGCTGGAAGACGCCATGGTGAAGGACGGTGTTCACTTGCGACCTCACAGCAACGTCGCTCGTGTGGAACAGGCAGCTGATGGCACTAAGACTGTAGTGCTCACTGACGGTTCGGAATACAACGGTTATGATGTTGTGATGTACGCTGCTGGCCGAGTGCCTCTAACGTCAAACCTTCAGCTCGACAAGGCGGGAGTCACAACTGACGAGCACGGTTTTATTCCAGTGAACGAGTTCCAAGAAACCTCAAACAGCAAAGTGCTTGCAGTTGGCGATGTGTGCGGCACTCCAGCGCTGACTCCCGTTGCCATCGCTGCTGGGAGGAGGCTCTCTGATCGCCTGTTTGGCGGTCTGAATAATTCAAAGGTCTCATACGAAAACATCCCGACAGTCGTGTTCAGCCACCCTCCTATCGGTACGATTGGCCTGACCGAAGACCAGGCTCGCCGCAAGTATGGTGACGACGCTGTCAAGGTGTACACGAGCCGCTTTGTGAACATGTATTACGGCCTGATTAACGAGGTTGACGAATCGACGGGAGAGCCAAAGGACAAGCCCAAGACGGCCATGAAACTCGTGTGTGTTGGCAAAGAGGAAAAGGTTGTGGGTCTGCATATGATCGGCATGGCCGCCGACGAGATCCTCCAGGGCTTCGGTGTGGCCGTAAAAATGGGTGCTACCAAGGCCGATTTTGACAATTGCATTGCGATCCACCCGACTGCAGGCGAGGAGCTCGTGACACTGGCGCCCTGGGGCCTCAGCGGGCGCGAGTGAAGGACACCAGTTGAAGCTAGACGTTCCCATCTGGGCCGATAAACTCTGCGACATGGTAGAGAACTAAAGGTGGTTGAATTGAGATTCAGAACTGATTCAATCGCAATTAAAGGAACCGGCCCCCAATTGAAATTGAAATTCCCTCGAAACTTGAGATGTCGCTTGAGCGACACCTCACTGGAGGCCGACGAAACGAAACATTATGCCGTCAAATGTCGATCCACAGTTGAGCGTCGACTACGGCACTGCCGCACCCAAGCACCTGCTTGTATTGCTTTGTGGTTATTATGGCAGGCGCGCAATTTGCCTGAGATATAACCCTACCAATTTCCATCGACGAGATTCTCGGCATGAGAATCACAATTGGGCGGTTTTTGGCTGACACCCTAACCCCGATCCTGAGAACGATACTTTTGTCCGGAGTCGGTTTCTACACTTGGCTTCACTATGTCGCTTCAACTTCGCATTCACCCGACACGTCAGTGTTCCTTCGTCGTCATTTTCTCTTTTGTCGTTGATTCGGCCCCACCTGCTTCTTTCCTCCCCCACCGCCATGGCTAGCGACAAGCGTCCGATTCTCTCTGGTAAGCGCATCCGCAACCGCAGGAAACGTGCCGCTCTGCGCGCCGCGAACCGAGCCAATGCGTCTCCCACGCCTGAGTGTGACAGTGAAGAAGACGCGAAGCGCCAGCAGCAGCAACAGCACGCTGGGCTTACTAAATCCGGTGACGACTCCACCAGCAGCGATAATACTGCGTCGCAGAGTGAGAACGAGGACGAGATCGACCCCAGCCTCGTGTTCGTGTGTCGCCCCACGATGCCCGACTTCTGCTCTGTCTTTCAGCCTCGAGGAGATAAGTCGACGCGAAGTCGCTCGCCGGCGGACTGCAAGTTATTTACTGTGCATATTCCGTCGTTCCAGGAGACGTGCGAGGGTTACGTCACCTACACGCTGGAACTCACGATCTGTGACGCACCGCGTCATAACTTCCAGGTCGAGCGCCGGTTCTCTGAGTTCGTATCGTGCGCGGTTGAAGTCAACAAACAACTTGCCAGCGGCTTTGCTGCTCGCTGCTGTGCGAGGCTGGAAGACGAGGAGTGCAAGGTAGAGGACGCCACGAAATTCCAGTGGGATCTTCCAGCCAAAACGTGGTTCCGTGTGACTCAGCCCAATGCTCTCGAAGAGCGTCGAGCACAACTCGAGCGGTCTCTGGAGACGTTGCTACTACAGCAAAACCGTCGAATGTGCAATCTGCCAGTGATACGTGACTTCCTCATGCTCGACATCTTTGGCGTGCAGGTGGCAGAGCATAAAAACCTTGAAGCTGCTGCGAACTTCGAGTGATGAATCTGCAACAAACGCTAACTATAACCAGAAACATTCAAGCGCAACAGCAACGAAGGGAAGCGGACCAGCGAGCCTTCGGAGTCAACCAGCACAGCTCACTTCCTTGGTCTTTTCATCATTTTACTCTCACCGGTCGAAATCGAAACGACCGATTGCCATCATCCGAGAAAAAATAGCATACAGACACGTAGAACCACCTCGAGTGCACTCCGTCGAAGCTGTGAACCGTGTAGCTACCAACGGAGTGTCCATACTATAAACAATGTTTGAAGACATCGCCAAAACTAACAGGCCGTTCTCATCATGCGATTAACATGTACCGTGGTAGCCCAGGATATCAATTGAAATATCGCCGATGTGACTCGCATTTACATCCATGTACACGAGCTAGCCTTGAAATCTCCGTAGGTGGATGCAGACATAAGCTGGCAAGGCGAGCCCGAACTTTGAGGATCACCATCGCAATTGCCGTACATGTATCCACCTAACCAGTTTCGCGATCCGGCTCGTGCGATTCCCAGATTTTCAGATCCAGTTGTTCGGCGCCGTTCCTGCGAATACGAGTATGTACATCCATTGTTATTGTGTGCAGCAATGCAATGTGGTCAGCCGTAATCCGTTGCGGAGGCGTGCTGGCGACGCTCAAGAATGTAAGCAGGAATGATCCAAGTGAGCGAGCCTGTAAAATCTTGGTAAACGAATGTTTAGATGCACTTCAACACGTCCATAAGAAACTTCTGTTGGTAATCGGTGTCCGGAGTTAAGTGCCTATTTTAGCTAGAAAAATGTAAGCAAATACGCGAATCAGCTGTTATGTCCGAGAAAAACTGTCCCTAATCGAACACGCCGATTTGTTTCCCCACCAATCCCACTGCGTTTTTTCACTGGAGGGGAAGTGCGTCATTCCCCGATTCCTCGCTTGTGTCACAAGTAGTTATGGCCTCGTCATCCCCGTGGGTAGTACTCAAGTTTGGCGGCACAAGCGTGTCGACCGCCGCTCGCTGGCGCTGTATCTGCGACCAAATCCGCTCGCACCTCGAGTCTCCGTCGTCTCCGCGCGTGTGGGTCACCATCTCAGCGCTGTCCCAAATTACCAACAAACTCACGCGAGCGCTAGCGCTAGCGAGTGAACGCGGCAGTAGCCACACCGAACTGGCAACCAACATTGCGCTGCAACACTTCTCGCTGGCTTATGAAGTGGGCCTGTTGCCGGCGCTCGAAGGTGTGGAGGGAAGCGTGGAGCTGCACGATCGATGGCAGCAGCTCTGGATGGATAGTGTGATGAGCCACGGCGAAGACGGATCGTCGTTCTCCACGTCGCCCATCGACCCGCTACTGCCCAAGACGTTGCACCCGCTGCTTGAGGAGCTAAAGAACCTCATTCGCGTACTGGAAGGCATTAAACTCACAGAGGAGGCCTCGCCCGGCATCCAGGCGCGCGTTCTAGCATTCGGAGAGCTGCTTTCAACTCACTTGGGTAGATGTATTATGGTTCACAATGGTCTCACGGACGTGGAGCGAGTGGATGCTAGAGATCTCCTGGTAAGCGACCCCACCAGTGCCAAGTCCGAAGAGGATAGGTATCTACAGGCAGAGGTGAACCCTCGACTGGACCGCGAACAGGCCGAGAACGCGGCAAATGGTAAGAGCGTTGTGCTTACGCAGGGATTCATTGCCAGCACGAGCACAGGCGCGACGTGTGTGCTGGGTCGTGGCGGCAGTGACACCTCAGGCTCTCTGTTTGCCTCCCTGCTGGGTGCCCAGAAGTACGAAATCTGGACGGACGTGCACGGCATGTTCACGACCGATCCGCGTTACGTGCCTAACGCCCGTCTCATCAAGGATTTGGATTATCGTGAGGCACAGGAGCTGGCTGCTATGGGCGCCAAGGTATTGCACCCCCGTTGCATCATTCCAGCGCAGTGGGGCAAGGTGCCGCTCGAAATCCGCAACACCAACGACCCTAACGGTGCCAAGACTGTCATTCACCCCGCTACCGAGGCGGACAAGGCACACCACGGCAGCCCGAAGATTCTAGCTGTGGTGAAGCGACAGAACATGACGACGCTCAGTATCACAGCATTCGACATGTACAGTACGTCGGGTTTCTTAGCCAAGGTGTTCGCTCCGTTCGAGGCTTGCGGCATTTCGGTGGATCTTATCGCGACGTCGCAGTTCTCCGTGACGGTAACGCTAGACCACATTCCCGGTGGCGTCCAGGGCGCGCCGTTCCAGCAGTTGCTCGAAGCACTGAATGAACACTCGAAGGTGCGCGTGTTCGAGGACTGCTCGGTGGTTTCGATTGTGGGTCGAGGTCTGCGTAAGGCGCTGGCGGAGCTCGGCTGTGTTTTCAGCGTGCTTGAGAACTACGACGTACTGCTGCTTAGCGAGTCTGCTGAAGATCTAAACCTGTCGTTTGTGCTCCAGCAGAAGGAGGCCGACGAGGTCGTCGCTCGCATGCACGGCTTCTTCTTCCCTGGAGATGATCAGGTGTCGCCGACTGCAGCGAAGGCAGCATCCACGGACGCGAAGCCCTCGGCAGCTCTACCACCTCTACCTCCGCACCCGTCGACTCCTACAGCTGCTAACGGCGAGGCAAGTGTATCTCCTGCCACGCCTGCGCCGGGCAACGTCATGTTCCAACAGGCAACTATCCGCCGATCACCTTCGCGCGACTTGTTGTTTGGCCCCACATGGCAGTCTTTGCTTGATAGCAAGACGAGTTAAACCAACTCGACAGGTTGAAGCCGCAGTCAGTGGCACAAAATACTTGGACGGTTGTATTTCATGTAGATAGAAGCCCTCGATTGGTAAGTTTGTTTTGAGAGCACCGTCGTGTGGCAATAGAAAGCATTATCCTTCCTAGAAATTCACGCGTCACTGTCACTTTCATCATAGTCATCGTCCTCCTCAACCTCCAATGCTCGCGCCTTGGTTATTAATGACGCAGCCTTCTCGGTGACTGTAACGTTGTCGTTGCCATCGTCACCGCTATTACCAGCTAGCTTGGTTGTCTTTTCTAAACCCGTTGCGGTTGCTGATGCTGCCTTTTTCGTCTTCGTTGTCCGCGCTTTTTTTGTGGTTGTTGAGCTGAACAAAACCCACATAATGTTTGAGCTTTGATCGAGCGAAAACCTAAACAAGCAGCAACTCACTCCTTGGCGGCAGCCTTCAGGATCCGCTTCTTGCCTCCTCGAGCAGGTTTGCGGTACTTAATATCGCTCTCGTCAATGGCCGTCACCTTGTTATGCAGGAAATTGAGTTCTCCACAAGCTAATACGCTCTTCTTCCTGCCGCATTAAAGAGCGTCCGTCAAATACTGTGAACAACATTCGACACTGCTCCAACGTCATACGCACAATTCAACTGGTGTCAGCCCGACTCCTTCCACTGCCTGTCGCTGCATTTTGGTAGCAAGATCCCGCACGAAAACCTGTACGGCCGAGGCTGAAAACTTGTGAGTTCCATTCGTTTGAAATGTGACTGCATTTGTGATGACGTACAGCAAGCGACAACAGCGGCTTCGCTCACTTGGCCCATGTCCTTCTGCTCTTTAAGCAATCGCTTCACGCGGCTCTGACAGAGTCAATAATATTGGAATGAATATGTTCAGCTCAATGCATTCACCCGATCACTCGACTCGCAGCACCAACAGCGCCGTCACCTTCAACAGATCGCGCTGCTTCATCGTCCTGGAATTATTGGTTGCAGTCTGACAAAATGTACCCATAATCGTACCCAGGGGTACACACAGGGTTACAGCAGTTTTGACTTTGACAACCGCAAAAATCGCGACGATGCTTCCAGGTCCATGGCGCCAGCAATTGCGCGCACTGCAGCGTCAAGGCCAGCGTCACCGTGCTCGTGTCCCATTGGCTTCACTTCGCTCTCTTTCTTCTGCTTCATCGGGCTCTAACGGTGATGCAGAGTTCGCTCTGGGGGTTAAGTATCTGCTGGGCAAAGCCGAAGGTGCCGGTGATGTGGGCAGTGCCGCGTCGGTGCACGGAGCCGTGCTACATTGGACGAACGCAGCGGAGATGGGCCACATACGTGCACAAGGCGCACTGGGCAGTTTGTATCTCAAGGGTCACGCTGGAATTCCGCGCAATGTGTCGCTGGCTAGGCAATTCCTGCAGCAGGCAGCCGACGCTGGTCACGACGGCAGCTGCCACGAGATTGGCAAGCTCTTCTTCCAGGGAAGCGACGAAGTTCCGCGTGACTTGGAGCGCGCACTCCACTACTGGACGCAGGCGGCAGAAAGTGGCCACATGGCCGCCAGCTACGACTTGGGCTACATGTACGCGCAAGGGCTACACGTGACGCAGGATGAGGATAAGGCTGTGCAGCTCTACCGCCAGGCAGCCAAGCAGAGCATGCCCGAGGCGCACCGGGCTCTGGGCAACGCGTGCCTGCACGGACGTGGCGTGGAGCAGAGTGCTGAACAAGCGGTGACGCACTTCCGTCATGCGGCCGAAGCTGGCAACGCGTTGGCGCAGTTCGATCTGGGAGCTTGTTACATGCTTGGACGCGGCATTGAGCAGGATCATGCCAAGGCGGCACAGTTCTTCTTCCTAGCTGCTGAAGGTGGAATTCCGCAAGCGCAGTTGTGTCTGGCACAGTTGTTCGAGAACGGCCAGGGAATTCCGGCAGACTACGAGAAGGCCATTCAGTACTACCAGTTGGCAGCGAAGGGTGGACTGCAGGAGGCGACGCAGGCACTGGATCGTCTTGGCGCACCTCACGAACCGGCACAGTAAACACAGCACATACACACATACAAACGCGTTTGGCAAATCAACTCATAGACACTGATTGGGTACTGGTGTTGCATTCTCCTTTGAACGAATGTGTGACCTCTGGCATCTTTCTTGTCTTGCAAATTCTGTCCCGCCTTGAGCAACGGAAGGCGATAAATGCAACTGGCTTCGAGCTGAACAGAGGTCGAGTTGAGGCGTGAGCGGTCGACGATGGGGGTGGATCAATACTTTATCTAGAGGCTAGCGGGGCAAACACAAAAGCAGACGAGAACAAATATTAAGTTGGGGAAAATCGAGACAGATGCAGCAAGTGTAGCCGCAAGAAACACGCACAGATAAAGCCACGCCCCGACGGTTTGTCCGCGGCTTGTGGCTTACGTTTCTAGAACGAATTCCGCGACCCAGTACCTGGCTTTTTCTTCTGCTTGATTTCCGCCTCCGCCACGCTGTGCAGCCGAATGACGCTCGGTTGGCTCTGATTGTATTTCTCCGCGCCCATAGACCAGTCGTACGACAACGTGTAGGCAAAGATATCTCCGCGCGCGTTGAATTTGCCGGTCGTAATGGACTGGTTGCTGCAACGTGCACACACAGAAGATCAGTTAGCAAAGTGTACAACACACAGAACGTTTGCAACCGAGTCGTACCATTTGTTGAAAGTTTTGAGCTTCTGACGGGCATCCTTGTCCCAGAAGCAGAACGTGCCATCTCCGCCCGTGGTAGCAAACGTGCCGAACGGGTGGAACGCGATGCTGCTCACTGGATAAATATCCGATCCATCGCGATGGCACTTGAACGCGAAGTCATTCCTGTCATCACAACAGGCGTAACATGTACAAAAATATCGCCTGGAGTTATTCAAGCTCAGCACGCACCTCTTGTCCTTGTCCTCGACGTGCTGAATAGCGCAACGTCCTTCGATCGAACCGATGGCGAAACCCGAAGCATCCGGAAAACACGCAATCGTCCGCGTCTGGAACTTGAGATTCGACTGGATCGACTTGTAGATCTGCGACGGTTTGCGGATGTCAAAAATGTGCACTTGGCGGTCGGCTGTGGCCACAACGAGCAGCGGGTGCTTGACATCCATGGCGTAGCAGCGCTCCGAGAGCTGCACTGAGGCCATGGGCGTGGGTGACCGCGTGTCCCAGTACTTAAGCGTCTTATCCCAACTACCCGTGGCCACGCAGTTAGCCTCCTGAATTGCAGCAATGCTGCGGATCGGAGCGTCGTGCTGGAAAAAAGTGTCACTGCAGCATTAGTCCCTCATTATAATAAGTAGTAGCAAATAAGTAGCTCTACCCACCGCAGCGATCTGCTGGCCCTGCGCGGGTCCATTTAGCACCCACATTTTGGCTGTCTTATCGCATGATCCCGAGAACACCGCGCTGCCATCCTAATGCATGAACCAAGTCATTAGAGGAAAAAAGAAATGATTGCATTGATAAAATTGTTGCAGTCATGCACACACCCCGCTAAAGGCCGTACACAGTACGGGACCCTCGTGCGCGATCTGTGCCTTGGCGACGGCGTTGAACTGTGTGCCTTGTTGTTGCACCTCCCAGCAGCGCACGTAGTTGTCCCAGCTGCCTGACACAAGCACGTTGCTCGTGGGGCTCCACGCCAGGTCCTGGATACCGTCATTAATGGCCTCGCCGATGGTGTAATCGTTGTTCGGGTTCAAGTACCCGCCGGCCTGGGCGGGCTGTCCGAACGACATGGCTGCTGCTCCTTTTGGTGTCAAAGTGGGGAATTGCGTGGGTGGAAGCCGCGATTGAATGTGTCCTCAAGCCGATTGGCTAAAATCAAATTGTTTGACGGATTTATATTGTGATTTACTTCCATTTTCTTGTAGATTTGTTCTCTTTTTTTGTAATATTTACTCATTAAACTATCTCGAGCATGGCGCGAAAGGACACCCGGACGCACTTGACGCTGCAGCAGAAGGCCAAGCTACGCGCCTTCCTGGTGACCAATCCTGGACTACCGCAATTCGCTGTGGCTGATTGGGTACGTGAGCAGTTCCATGTGCGTCTGGGGCGTACGACGCTCTACCGCATTCAACATGCTCCTGAGGGGTCCTTCACAACTGGGAATCTCGGTCGTAAGAAGCAGCGGCGCGTCAAATTCCCGGATTTCGAGCGTCGCCTACTTGATTTTTACGAGGACAGGCGTGCACGGAGAGAGGACGTGTCTGACGACCTGCTACTGCGCCAAGCGGCCGAATGTCGCGCCGCTTGTGGCATCAATGAATCTGAGCTCAAGCTCTCGAATGGATGGCTCTATCGGTTCAAGATTAGGCACCAGCTCACGGGTACTCCACCGCAGCCCGGACGGCAGGACGACAGTGGGGTTCGTGACGATAGACCAGTTGAATTGGAGCTACTACATGGCATAGATGCACCTCCGAGTGATGAGGATAGGGGCCCTGTAATCTTGTCGGCACGAGCTCTCACAATGGTGCAAGCACCTGAGTTCCTCAATTGGGAGCCTGTAGGTGAAATACAACAGGATCAAGTTGTTCTCGTCGCGGATGGAATACTGCTACAGCAATCGGGGTTGTACCAGCTTAGCGTGCAGGTGAAACACACTGCGTCAATGACTGGAGCGCTGGTCGCATTCATTTTCAAGGTTTATAGTGGCAATCGTGTTGTGGGGCAGTGTGAGTCGGTCACATCCGTGCAAAATGACGTTGCTAGTAGTACCTGGGTGGACACCAACTTACTCATGAGTGCCCAAGCAGTGCTGAAAGTGGAGTTCCTTGCGCCGGGATACGCATTCACCGACACCAGTCTCGTGCTGCGGCGGAGATTACTATAGTCAGGAGCGTAATGGAGTTGAAGTCATTTATTATGGGAGACTTGATTTGGCTGCTAATGGGCTCCATTACTCGAAAGAACCCAGTAGACGCAGCACCAGTCGACTATCGTTATAAGCTACACCGGGTGCATGGTACTCAACCCGAATTACTGTTTGTGCTGGCAATGTGCACTTCAGCTGCAGCACACTTAACGATCGACCATTCTCATTTCGGACGGAATGCTCACACTGGCCCAACAACTCCACTCCAGCCCACACTTTGAAAATAACTGAGGTTCCTGGTGGCAACGAAGTGTGTTGAAGCTCTACGTTGATCTGGCAACTAACGTTGCGTAAAATGGATACAATGTCGTTGACCACAGAAAAAATGTTCTCGTATCCCATTCCTCCATGCTTCTTCCACCTCACAAACCCCACGGACGTCACTGAATCAGCTGCAACAGCTGAAAGATATTTCAGTGGTTGTACAGCAGCAGCAGTTGGGGCACTAACTGTAGCAATTACTGCTGCGTCTTCTAACGCATTCGAGGCATTGCCACAAGAGGCCAAAGACTGCTGCATGCTGACTGTTGTATCAGTAATACCCATCGTGACTGCCTCCTCCGATGCCTCAATACTTTCAACGACGCCGCATTCTGCTTGTAAAATCTGCGCACTTGGTTGGTTGGTGGGTTTTCTACGTGGTGGGGCCCTTGGCTTTCGCTTTGGCTTTACCGCAGCATCTTGCGTAGGCTCCTTCATTACAGCACTTGTAGTTTGAGTGACATCCGTCGCCGCCTGCTTTCCCGTTGCTTGTGGAATGATACGCAATGCGTGTCTCTCTTTGAAGCGGTGGAGCCATCCGTTGCTCAGCTTGAGCTCTGTCTCTGAAATGCCATGGCGCGCCCGGAGCTCCGCGGCGGCTCGCAACAGCGCTTCGTCCGAGAGAGCCAAACCGCTGCTGTCGCCAAGTCGCCGGTTCTCCTCATAGAAGGCCAGGATGTCCTTCTCTAGCCCCGGGAACTTGACGCGTCTACCCTTCTTTTTCTGCGCGTTGCCCGCGAAGGTCTCGACTGGTGCGTGGTAAATGCGGTAGAGCGTCGCTCGACCCACGGACACTCCAAAGCGCTCGCGCACCCAATCCACAACCGCCAGCAGCTGTAAGTCAGGGTGCTCGTTCCAGAACTGCTTCAGCTGCAGCTTCTGTGCGTTGGTTAGGAACGTCCGCTGCTTCTGCTTGGGTGGCATCGTGCTTAGCTTGACAGGATCAGAATCGGAATCAGAACCCTTAACAGTTACACCGAGTTAATATTAGCTGTACATGCACATGCAGTGCTGGTGCTGCAACCGTGGGTTAGCTTTTTAGATAGCAATAGCGAGCAAATGCTTGTGGTGCGTGGGTAAGAATGAACATGTCGGCGATAAAGCTCTAGTTATCGTCTCTCCAACCCCGCACACTTCAAGAGTGACGTGGCCATTTCTGCATTTAGATGTATGAATACATATCCTGATATAACTGCTTGAGTGTTTTTTTTTATTAGCCACATTAATATTATAATATAGAATCTCAAACTTGATATACTTGCATCCACAATATGTTTACGTAGGTGGGAGAATTCACCTGCTCTTCAGAAACCAACTCGCCAAGTCGAGGAGCTACGTCTACGTCTCGGTCATCTCCTCTCTGCATGCGCTACTCCTTCCACCGCGGGCTCGCCATCGCGCTGACAGTCGCGCTCTCCTGCGTCTCCGCGTCGCCTTCTGATGTCTCGGAGACTCGCGCGACTGGTAATATGTTTTCATTATGCTGTCCTCTTTTCCAATTCTTCTGACTCTTTTGTTCCCTGTTACAGACGCCATCGCGCCACCGTCGCCGCTCGCGGAGGCGTTGCGACGTGTTCAGACTGATAATGCGGCTGTGCGTGATCTGAGTGATGCCGCGCTCTCGCCTTTGGTGCCGCGTGCTGAGCGCCGTGACGCGCTGGTGCAGTTAGGCGACATGTATTTCTACGGGAACAGCTCGCTCGACACGAGCGTCAATGGAACGCTGGCCTTGAATCTGTACGCTGAGGCAGCAGCTCTGGGTGCACCCAGGGCGCAGTTCCATGTGGGTGTGGCGTTGAGTTACGGACTCTGGGGCTTCCCGCTTGACGAAGCGGCCGCCATGTCGCACTACTACTTCGCCGCTCTGGGTGGAGACATTGGCGCCGCTATGGCTTTGGGGCACAATCATCTGCTGGGACTTGGAGCTCCGAAGAAGTGCGAATCGGCCGTGCGCTACTACGAAGTGGCGGCCAATGAGGCCGTAGCGAGACGGGAGCAGAATGCCAGCCATCCCGCCATCTACGACCTGCCACATCGTCGTCTAAAGACTGTAGCGGAGACGCAGCACAAGAAGAACTTGCCTGGTGACAGCGCGATTGTTGACTATTACGAGTTCTCGGCAGACAAGGGCGACCCAGACGCCACACTCAACCTGGCAACATTGTACTTCTACGGCGCTCGTGGACTCGCACAAGACGTTGAACGTGCAGCGACGCTCTTCCAGAAAGCGTACGACTTGGGAGCTAGTGGGGGAGCGTACCACTTGGGACACATTTACAGTCTTGGCATTGGCGTCCCACAGAATAACGCTACGGCGTTCAAATACTTGCAAGAGGCTGTGAATGAGGGAAACACGGCAGCCCAGAATGAACTGGCGCACTTGTATCTGCTGGGCAAAGGCACCGAACGCGATGAGGAAGAGGCTGTGGCTCTCTTTAAGGCTGCAGCTAAGCAGGGCAGCATGGAGGCCTTCTACAACCTGGGTGTCCTCCACATGCGAGGCGGTGGATCGACGGGCGCTGTACTTGCCACAGAGCACCCCGAATACGAGGTCGCTCATGGCTATTTCCAAGTCGCTGCGCACCAAGGCCACACAATTTCAAGTCATAAGCTCGGCCAGATGAGTCTGCACGGTATTGGCACAACGCGCTCCTGTAAAAATGCAGTCGAGTCGTTCAAAATGGTGGCCGAGCGTGGCGAATGGGATCGGGTGCTCACTCAGGCATACAAAGACTTCAAGCGCCAGGACTACGAGGCATCTTTCATGAAGTATGCTGTTATGGCTCAGCAAGGCTACGAAGTCGCTCAGCACAACGCTGCGTATCTGCTCGACTACGATTTCCTTACTCCTTCGGCGTTTTCACCTATGCTATCGCTGACGCCTTCGGGTATGGAACTCACGAAGGACGTGGTGGCCTCGACTGCTGTGATGCTGTACAGACTGGCAGCGCAGCAGGGTAACGTGGATGCTAACCTGAAGATCGGTGACTATTACTACTATGGAAAAGGTGGTCACCCCGTGGACTTCGTCAAGGCTAGTGCGCACTATTCTCTGGCCAGTAAGCGGTCCAACGCGCAGGCCATGTTCAACCTCGCACTCATGTACGAGCACGGAATTGGTGTGGACCAGGACTTTTATTTGGCCAAGCGTTTCTTTGACAAGTCACGTGTGGCGCACAGCGATGCCAGTGTACCAGTGACTCTAGCACTGTGGAAGTTGCGTGCTCACAAGTCGCTGCGGTCATGGAAGAGATGGTGGGATGAGCTCGTAGGCAACGTGCCGCCGTCCAAGAAGGCAGCGTCTTCCTCGTCGACGTCGACTGCTGCGTCTCGCGGTCAGGACAACTCGCTTGACACAAAATCTGAAGCGAGCGCTTTTCTGTCTTCTCTGCTTAAGAATTGGTGGCCTGGAGACGTGGATTTAAGCTCGAATACTCTTCTGCTGGACATGTTCAGTAACTGGCGCGAGGTGTTGCAGTCGGATAACTTTCTCATCTTTGTATTGACGATCGCGCTCGGGGTCGTTCTGTACATCCGCTCCGAGCGTCAGTATTTACAAGCGCCGCCTCATCAGCAGCAACCACAGTAAGTCAAGTCAGTAGAGAAAGTCGAGACGATGATCCTGGGGTGAAAACTAAACGGCAACAACGGTATGATTATTGCATTTGGTCTTGAGTTATTGCACTTGCTGTAGTGGTTCTGGATCTATGTAGGAATCACGCTGTTCTTCAAACTGCTGCTGGAGCCGCTGGAACATTTCTTGCTGTGCTTGTAGCGAACGTTTGAGATCACTCATTTCGGTCTCAAGTTGCTGGATGCGCTTGTCGCTCTCGTCTGCGCGTTGCTGCTCTCGCTTGAGAGCCTCCACTACCACAGGCATCAGTCGTGCGTATGCCACGTATTTGAATCCGTCAGCGTCTGTGGACACAACTTGAGGAGCGACTTTCTCCACCTCTTGAGCTATGAATCCCAATTCACGTTGACCATCATGTGGAAATTTATCAGGGAACTCGGCCGAATTGTACGCATACTCGACACCGCGCAGTTGAGCTACAACCTCGGAGGCGTTGGCGATTTGATGGATGTCGCACTTGAATCGCTCGTCCGATGCATCTACGTAGGCTCCTGAGCCCATAACTTGGCCGTCCACTGTCACACTTGCGCCGAAAAACGCCTCGTCCTCGACGAAGAGCTCGCCCTGCACTTCCACCATCTCGATGGCCGTCATGTTGACGCTGCTAATGTGACCACCAATGATTTCTACGCCTCGTAGCTCACTCTCACTCATATCAATGGAGCCACGCATGCGCTGGACCTCGATTTTTTCAGCGCTGAATGTGCCCGACGTGGCATCAAAGCGCAGACTGCCATGCTGCTCCAGAACGCCACCTTTGCCGTACACAGCCACGAAGCCAGCACGTTGTCCAGCTACCTGAACAGACTGCACTGATAGCGTGATCTCGCCCAAATTGAGATCATTTTCAGCTTCCAGAGTTTTAACGCCCGTAAGTGACGACGTATCAAACACCGCTGCAGTCAAAGGACGCCACACGCCGCCGTCAAATACGAAAATGGCTGCTGCACCTGCCGCTACGTTGAGTTCGCCACCCAGGGGCTGTTCATCGTCGTTCTGGATGACAAGCAACTGACCAGCATACGCGTGTTCACAATCAATTCTCGCCGTATTTGGAGAAGCAACTCCATCGTTGGTGATCTGAACGTAGCTGTTGGTACTTGGGATGACGAGATTATTAGAGGCGCGAAGCTGAACACTCGAAAAAACGGCCTGGGCCTGGGAGACCAGAGCTCCGTTTGCAATTATCCGACCACCGCGAGTAGTAGTGACGTCTCCATGCGTCTCCAAGTTGCCTAATGAGTCCACTGAAAAAACGCTTTCTGTTTGAGTAGTGCGGCTTTCAGAATCGGTAGGTTTCAATGCCTCAATAATACGAAATGGCGGTGTATGGAGATGGTGGTTAGAGAGATCAAAGCTCAACAACGCGCCAGCAAAGTTGGCGTTAGGTGATGCCACATGAAGAGCTTTACCGTTCACTTGCTCGGTTTTAACGGTTAGCCCACCATCTTCGATTGAGAAACCATCTCGGGTGGTGAGACTCCCAGACTCGACTTGAATACCACCAGACGCCACACGCAGACCACCGGACATGATCGTTTGGCCTCCAGATTCGATGGTCACACCACCAGCAAGCACGTGCAAACCACCGCTGTGCACTACCGTCGATCCCGAATCAAGCACTTCAAAAACTTTACTTTCGCTGCTTCTGCTACCTCTAGCCTCAATTAGCGGTCTAGAATGCGACGTGCCATCAGTACCATCACGCTGTAGTAATAGTACCGGACCAGCGGGTGCAGTAAGTGTTGTCTGCCCATTTTTCAGACTTAAAGTGCCAGAGCGAACAGCTAAGTTTCCGCTTTGAACGTCAAGTCCTCCGCTCATAACTTTGATTCCGTCCGACAGTACCTGAATACCACCGCGCTCGAGTCTCAGACCGCCTTTAAGTATCTCTAGGCCGCCACTGTGGATGACAGTCTGTCCTGCTCCACTTACTCGCAAAATGGGCCCTTTAGGGTGCGAAATGCGCATGTAATCTGGAAGCGTTGACAACTCGGACGTAGAGGCTGCAGAGAGTCTCTCAACATTAAGCAAAGCGGCACCGCCGGTGGAGGCTGAGGTGGCCATTTGCAGCTGCAGATGTAGCGATGTATCTTGAAGTCGCGCACGTCCGTCTTTCATCTCGAATGTGCTGTCTTTTTGTAGTTGCAAGGCGCCACCACTCATGTATAGTCCTCCTTCGCGAAGTTGCAGTGACCCGCGATGCCAGGTAGTATCGCCGCGTCCGTTCATGGTAAATACTGCTTGTCCACCGACATCGGCGCGTACGATTTGGAAATCAGAGGACAATCCTCTCGTCGCTGATAAATGCAGAACATTTCCCTTGAAAAGTGGTCCCAGCGCTGGAGCAACTAGGACATCTTCGTCGTCTTTGTTCTTTCCACAGTGGTCGCCGTAATATCCCTCGTGGCAGGCGCAAATTCCCGTTTCAGCGTTACAGTCACCGTGTCCACTGCACTCTTCATAGGACTTCACATTGACATCGTTAATGCTCTCGAAAACACACTGCACTGCTCCCGATGGTGACGAGAGCTGGACGTTTGTTGCGTCGCACCAGAATTCGGACACTGGCGGATTGCCATTGTGATAATACAGATTGTTCATGATTGGAAATGTGGGGAACGTGTGAAGCGTGATGTCAAATGTGGCGGACGAAGATCCATAAAAATGTACTTGTTTGCACGTCTGATGATAGTAAACGTTCGTTAGCGTCGATTGGAGTGGACAGGAGACCTGCTACGGTACCAACCGAAATTCACTTACCAACTCTCCGAGGTTTTGGAAACGCCGGAAGATACTAGTGCATACTTCGCTCGTCACTTGTTCGAGCGGCATTTCGAAATCTACTGTGTGCGCCTGGAACGTTATCGCCAATGCTCCACCCGTGATTGAAGCACCACCGTTAGTCGTGATCCTTAGGCTAATCGTCTTATCTTCCTGCTGGGACGACGTTGGATTGGCTCCATACGGGCACATTTCTGCAAGACAAGGAACAAAATGTCAAGGTACACCGTCAACATCAGGATGAAGGAGAGCTGCTCACGAACTTATAGAGCAGTCTGGAGATGTGTATCCCCACTGGCAATTGCACACATGTTCTCCCTGTCGGTTGATCGCACACACGCCGTGCTGCGAACACTGACTGCCTTGGCCTGGGCAATGCGTCCCCTTCAATTCTACTGCTCGCACAAACTGTCCACCAGCCAGCAGCAGATGGATGCAGAAGAAGATCGCTAGAGTGATCCGCGTCCAAGACGGGAATTTTGCCATGGTTTGGTTGTCCGTCATATGCGCAGCAAAGTGCTTCAAGAAGATCGCAATACGTCTGGCACCCTTTCGTTCAGACACGCGGGGTGGTCCACACGCAATGGTGACGGTAGATAAGACGAAAAGACGTTCGGTGCCGGAAATGTGGTCAAAAATAGAACGAAAAAAAAAAAACGTGGTGACTCAACGGTGAAACTTTCTATTTTTTTACGTTGAAGCTCAATATGCAAGTCGTTCTGGTAAGAAAGAGCACTTTACTTTCTTCCAAGCAACGTCAAGACCGAGCGAGTATCAAGTATAATGCGACCTTTCCTGGCCCGTGGATTCGTTGTGCTGAGTTTTCTGCTGGCAACCGCGTTCTTCTCGCACGCCGATGCGACCAATTTTGACTGCAACGTCATGTTTTGTACGCTAGAGTACGTCCCTGTGTGCGGCACCGACGGCACCACGTACTCCAATCTGTGTGATCTCACGATCCAGGCGTGCAACGACCCAGCAAACCATCTTGACATCGAACATGAAGGCGCATGCTAACATGGTCAAGAGAAGAAACCGAAGAGCCCTTAATATTAAATGAATTCCTTGGCGCTGTACGCCATATTTCCTCCCTATACGAGGCCGCAGTTTTCTGAGCTCTTTCTCCTCGCTTTCGTTTTTATCTTGAGGGCTTGTCGTATGCTTTTGGTGCATCAGGTATGCTTGCAGGCTTCAGTGTTCCTACGAAGTTCGACGGCTCTGACAACATCGCGACATCGGTGAACCCCGTCAACTGCTTCGTTGCCGAAGTTTCGTCCGCAGCTTCGTTTGCTGTTGAGGATTGAGTGCCTTCTGAGCCCTGCTGTGCTTCGGACTTCGTTACTGCTAGAGTGACTTCAGGTGTTGAAGCATCCGTACTCCCCGTTGTTGACCCCTTCGTCGTCCCTGAGGTTGGAGCTGGTGTTGGCTCTGACAATAATGTATCTGTATCCGGTGTCAAACTCCCAGTGGGCTCGGATCCCGATTCACCCTCTGACGTCGACGCTGGGGTTGGATCTGACTCGGATGAATTTGCTGTGTCGGATGTTGTGCTGTCAGTGAAGTCCGACGGTGCCGGTGTGGGTTCGGACGCTGATTGATCCGTAACGTCCAGGGTTGGCTCTGATTCTGACGAATCTGCGCTATCCGATGCTGAGCCATCTTCACTGTCCGAAGGTGAAAACTCATCGGTAGTGTTTGAAGTCGGGGCTGGTGTGGCATTGGATCCTGAGGGGCCCGATGATGAATCCGCCCCGTCCGTCGGCGCTGGTGTAGCATCAGGCATCGATGAATCTCCAGAGTCTTGCGTTTGAGTTTCTGTAGTATCTAATGACGATGCACCTTCAGTATTTGAGGTCGGTTCGGGTGTTGGTTCCGATGCTGATTCGTCCGTCGAATCGGATTTTGGAGAGGGCGTTGGAGCGGATACCGAAGTTGGCGCTGGAGTGGGCTCTGACGTCGGTGCCGCCGTGGGCTTGTCGGTTCCACATGCAAACAGTACTGTCACTTTGGTCACTTCCACGAACCAGCTTTCATCATAGTCCTCGTTTCCGTCGAATAGCGCCTCCGAGTCAATACTTGAGGCGAAGTCTTCATCTTCATCATAATTCCAAGTTTCACACTGATGTACTGGAGAAGCTGGAGCAGTCGTCGTGAGTGCTTGACCTCCACATCCTACCGAAGGAAGCACGCAACCCCATGTTTTTTCGCTCACTAAAGCACACACTGCGTCTTCGGGCGCCACACAGGCGCCACCGTCATACGAAGGTAGATTTTCAAAGCAGTCGGTGCTCGCTTTGTCTCCTTTGAGCGGGCAGGCCGTGCCTGGCGGGATGGGATCGGCCGACGCGCAGATCACTCCTCGGTCCTCAGGCAGATCGTACGTGGCGTCGCCGCAGACGCTGACTTCCAGGGCTAGCGACGGCGCCGTGAGTGACACCACCGCTGCGAACAAAGGCGCAAGTCTACGCATTTCACTATTCCTCGCCTGTTTCGATGTGGAAAGTGCCGCGTTGCCTCGCACTCGGCGGCCCAGTCACTGCAGCCCCATCCACGGGAGAATTTTGCTCTCATCACGGTGTCGATAATCGACTCGATTCGCCTCGAATTTCGCGAGGTGTGCAACGTACACATCCGCAAGATGCAATCGTCTGCGTGCTGCGCCAGGACGGTCGAACTCTATGCAGTGCCACTGACCGGCCGGTGATCAGCAACCAGCCATCGGTTCACATGTCAACTTAGCTGACACCATGTGACGGAAGTCCTGAGCTCAAGACTCTTTGACAAGAAAGTTGGTTACCACAGCATTTGGATCTGGAGAACACGATGTCGGAATCAGCACGATGCGCAGGAAAAACAGCAGTGGGCTCACGAAAAAATGGTCATTTATCAACGCAAGAGAACGTGCGGCTAAAGCTCGCTTTTACGACTGCCGAAAGCAACAAAATGCTCTTCATGTATATGTATTGAACAGGAAGCTGGAGGGTCAAAGAACCGCATGGAAATTTCGAGTAGAACTCACAATATCAATCGTAAAGCTATTGTACTGTCGAGATGAACTGATACACCAGCTTTGTGCTCGTTTAGCTGGCACGAGCACTTGGTACGTACTCTGGTAGGACATCACAAAAACTCGATCGCTGCAGGAAGAGGAAGTGGATGAAATGTTTGGTGTGGTTTATCGTTTCGGGCACATATTCCGAGCAGGCAGCAATTGTTAGGCTGCATTGATGCTCAGGGTAACACTGTCGAAAAAGCTGTCGTAGAGTGGCGATGTGGAACAGCAACACGATCGCCAACATCAGGTCCGGCTGCTGCAGCGGCATTTCGAGCTGGTTAATCCTGACGCTATTAGTTGGCTCCATGGTGGAGCTGATTGTCTTGTGACCGACTCTGAATCTTCCAGCAAGATATTTCCTCCTCATTGTTTGCCTGTACACTCGTTAAATATGTGGGCATTCATGCCACTTCTACTTGTACTTGATGTGGCGCACAAAAGTTGGAATCGCGTAAGTACGATCATCATTTGCCTGTCACTTTGTGAGCCCCACGCTGCAGCAAGCTCTCTTCATGCTGCGTCACGTGGTCGCGGCGTCGACGGCGTCAACACGACTGCACGCCCAGCGTATCCGACATGTCGGTAGTCGGGCCTTCTCGTCTGTCCCAGTTTTGCAGCGTGGAGACGGCTGCAAGTCTCTGCAGGTGGGTGAGACGTATCAGAATTTCACACTGGAGCGAGTGGCCACCGTGCCCGAATACAACGTAGACGCGCTAGAGCTGCGCCATGAACCCACGCAGGCCAAGTATCTTCACCTGGATGCCAAGGATCCCAACAACGTCTTCGCTGTCATGTTCCGCACGCCGCCTAGCAACTCGACAGGTGTGGCGCATATTCTGGAACACACCGTATTGTGCGGCTCCAAGCGTTTCCCAGTTCGCGACCCGTTCTTTAACATGATCAAGCGCAGTCTCAACACATACATGAATGCGCTTACGGGTGCAGACCACACCATGTACCCGTTCTCGACGACCAACGCGAAGGACTGGCGCAACCTCTTGAGCGTGTACCTGGACGCGGCCTTCTTCCCTAACTTGAGTAAGCTGGACTTCTTACAAGAGGGCCATCGACTCGAGATCAGCGAGGAAAAAGGCGAACTTGTGTACAAGGGAGTAGTGCTTAATGAGATGAAGGGAGTATTATCTGACAGCAACAATCTCTTCGGCACGAGATTGCAGCAGGAACTCATGCGAGGCACCATCTACGAGCACGTGAGTGGCGGCGACCCTACGGATATTCCGTCGCTTACGTACGAGGATCTACGCGCCTTCCACACCAAAAATTACCACCCGTCGAACTGCTGCTTCTTCTCGTACGGCGACTTGCCGCTCACGGACCATCTGGCCTATCTGGACAAGGAGGTTCTCAGCAAGTTTGAGTACCGTGCCGATTCTGCAGCTACTCGCGTGAACACGGAGGGATTTAGCATGCACAAGAAAAGCTCAGAGGACCCGGAACTGATCGTTATCAGGGGCCCTAGCAGTAATATGAGCGGAGAGGCTGCTGACCCCAATACCAAGTATTGTATGAGCAAGTTCGTGGACGTGAAGTCTACAGACCCGTTCCCAACCTTCGTGCTTCGAATCGTGGGCTATCTTCTCACAAATGGACCTGCGTCTCCACTGTTTAAGGCGCTGATCGACTCCAACCTCGCACAGGATTTCTCGGTGGGCACAGGCTTCGACACATCCACGTATTACCCTACTTTTGGCGTTGGAGTAGAAGGAATCGAAGGCGGAGAAGCAGCGGTGCCTGCCATTCGCAAGGCAGTTCATGACGCGTTGGAGAAAGTGGTTGCTGAGGGCTTCGACAAGGAACGAGTGGCTGGACTACTGCACCAATTGGAGCTGAGTCTCAAACACGTGACAGGAAATTTTGGTCTCCAACTCATGCACGGCATCAGCTCCGTTTGGGCCCATGATGGCGATCTCATCAAAAATCTACAACTGAACCCGCTGCTGGAGCGCTTGAATGACGAAATGGCTCGTGATCCAAAGTTCCTTGAGAGTTACGTGCGCGATTACCTCATGCGCGATGACCTGCGCGAGGTCCAGATGCTTATGCTTCCTGCTGAGGATTTCGTCCGCGACCAGGAGCGCCGCGAACATGAAAACCTGGCCAATAAGCTCATTGAACAGTCCAATGCTGATCTGGACCGCATCGCCCGTATCACAGAGAAGCTCGAACGTCACCAGCAAAAAGAACAACCTGTGGAGTGTCTGCCCACCTTGACTCTGGACGATATTCCACGTGTGGAGGAAGGCAATTTCGACCACATTGAGAAGACAGGGATCAACTCGACGTCTGCAGAGTTTGTACGTGTGCCGTCCACTAACGAAATTTCGTACTTGCGTCTTCTATTTGACGTCGGAGCGCTGCCTCAAGCATACCACCGATACATGAACGTATTTACGACGGTGTTTGGATCTCTGGGCACTTCTCGCTACGCCTACGATGAACTCCCCACGGTCATTGCGAACTGTAGTGGTGGTGTGTCGTGCTCAGCTATGACAGCACCATCGCTCACAGATGTCCACGGTGAACCTAGCAAGCAATCGCTTCTGCTCGGTACAATGTGTCTTCCTCACAAGGTGGACGAAACGCTGAGTTTGATGTACGAGCTGCTCACGGACACGCAGTTTTTGAGCAACGAGAATTTGCGTCAGCTGCGTCTCATTCTACAGAGTAGCGCGTCCACCGCTAGCAGCAGCATTTCGTCCTCGGGTGCTGCTCTCGCGGGAACACGCTCGCGTGTGGGTCTTACTCCCGCCGGAGTGTACGACGAATTGTACAGTGGACTTACGCAGATCGAGCAGCTTCAGAAGTGGGCGCAGTGTTCTGATGAAGAGCTGCGTCAGATCGCCCGTGTACTGCAGGATATCGCGCGCGTGGCGTTCTCGCCCGAAAACCTGCGTCTTTCTGTTGTGACTGAGGACAAGTTGCGCTCCCAAGTGGAGCAATCTCTCAAGTCAAAGCTGCTTCAGCCTCTGGCCTCGTCTTCGTCGTTACTGGACCTTGCATCGCTCACGCTGTCACAAGGGGAGCTAAAGGTACCGACCGTGTCACCCAAGAACTACTTCGCCTTCCCCGTCTCCGTTAACTTTGTGGTGGAGACGCAGCTGTCTGTGTCATTTGCACACAAAGACCACGTGCCATTTACGGTGTTGGCGCAAATTATGTCATCGTGTTATCTGCACCAGCAAGTGCGTGAGCAGGGCGGAGCGTACGGATCTGGTGTCTCCCAGAACGAAGGCTCCTTTTCGATGAGCTCGCACTACGACCCGAACACGTTCAAGACGCTTGACGCTTATGCTGGTGCCCGTCGATGGGCCGTCAGCGGCGAATTCTCGGACCGCGACGTGCAGGAAGCGCTACTGTCTGTCTTCGCGAGTGTTGACGCACCCAAGACCCCATCGATGAAGGGCCGTATGAGTTTTCTGCGCGCCATCACAAACGACATGCGCCAGCGCAGACGTGAGCAATATCTCTCGTTGAAACGTCAGGATCTTGTAGATATCGCGCAAAAATACTTTGGCGAAGACGCGCCTGAGAAGCGCACTGTCATCATCGGCAAGGACGGTGACGATCTTCACGAGTTCTTGGACAAGGGCTACGACGTACAGCGATTCTCCTCTACAGCCTCGCCAGAACAGTAAGTAGATACATGTTAGATTACTGTTAGAGATGGAAATCAACGTCATTTCAAACATAACTATATATTTTTGGTCGCGGTTGCCACGTCTCGCCTTCCTTGAGTCAATTGGCTCCCGTCTGGATACTTCACTAGTAATTGCTGTTGTTCTCTTCTTCGCCCGAGATCGTACGACAAATGGGGCAATCAAAGCGTGTACGGTACCACTCGTTAATGCAGTGCTCGTGGAAAAAGTGTCCGCACGGCGAGAGCACGAGCTGGTTGCCATCCAGCTCAGCCCATTCACATAGACAGATAGGACACGAATCCGAATCCACTTCAACGTCGCGCGGGTCAACGTACTTGAGCTGGCGGATGGAACGAACGTGCTGCTGCTCGTGCTCGAGTGGGAACTGGAGGAACTCCTTGACCAAAAACCGCGTGGATGCAATCTCACTGCACACTTCCACCTCCTGCTCGGCAGCAAGATACTCACAGAGTGCAACGATGAACTCCTCGAGTCCGGCGGTTCGTTTGCCCACAAGAGAAGAGGGGTCTTTGAACATGACGACGCGGCGAGGAAACCCGACGTCTTTGAGCTGGTCGCGCACCGCGCCGCACACGGAACATCCGCGCTGCTTCTTATGAGCCGCGAGACGTGTGAGCAACCGCTTGCGCAGGCGGTAGAACTCGGAGTAGCGCTTGCAGACCACCCATTTCTGCTTGTAGTAGTCGCTGGTGATCTCCAGGTGATAGACGTAGTAGTTGCCAGAGGCACCGCGCACCAGCACAGCTTGACAGCTCATGGTCAACTGCGTCATGGATTCCTGGTGGATACGGCGGATGAGCACGCGCTTGGCGGCTACACCGTGGTCGGCCACGAGGCCGATGGGCATGTCCTGGAAGCGCTGCTGGCCCACGGACTTGGCCGGAAGACGGTAGTTCGAGGCCTCGGGCTGTGGAGCGAACTGCTGGCCGTAAAACGAGGTCATGTCACCCTCAACATCCTCCACGTCCTCGGATCCGGCGTATGACACGGCGGCGGGACGCTGCATCTGCTGGTTGTTTTCGGGCCACCGCACCCCGCCGCCGGCCTTGGCATTGGGGCTGCTGCTGAACATGCTGCTGATATCGTCGTTGGACCGCGGACTGTCCTCCAGCTCGCTGTCCAGCCACTCGACGTCATCGTCATGCATCTGAGCCATTGGTGTCTCCCTTCCTGATCTCGTCGCGCTGCGCCAGGAGCTCTGCACTGATAAAGTCGATGTGACGGAGGCAACCTTGTGGGCGGAACGTTGCGATCGACATACAAAAATCAAGTCACTTGACCGCCTCTTACCGTCGCGGAAAAAGTTGTTCATCGTGATGTCGTCGGATTGGGCGAAAAGAGCGCAGTCGCAGAGCACGATTGGATGAAAAGAAACCAGATAACGGATGCCCAGCACAATCACAGCCGTAGACAGCGTTGACCAGCCTGCTGATATGCCGACGAAAGAGTGCTTAACATGTAAGCCGGGCGACGACACGCACCACCAAAGTGCCGTGGAGAATACGGGCTGCGAGGAAAGCTACTTGCGCGTTGACGGTGAGTTCTATCCGTTGGATTTCCGCTGCTTTTTGCTTGGTTTCGCGCGGCTGTCGTTCTTACTGACGCATGTTGGTGATTGCCAGCGTGCATGAAACTTAACAACGGCCGCGTCTCGGCCTGCACGGAGGTAAGTTTAGTAGTAGTAGATGCACTTGGGGTGCGATGACTAATACTTGGCGCGACAGGAGTGGGAAAAGTTCCGCCAGTGCCACGAGCAGGGCAAGACTACGCCCAAAAGTGGTGGCAAGAAGTGAAGGCAGAACGGAAGCGGCCTGGAAGCATAGCAGCCAGTCTCTGGGCTCCATGTAAACAGTTTCACACAATATAGACCGTTTTCCTCTTGGTTTAAGCCAGCGTCAGGGTGGCAAGCTGTAACGCCTGATGCGTGCCACTTGAGGCGCGTGTGTCGGGCAAGAGGGTCCTGTACTGCCAGCAGCAACTCGAATGCCTCACCAATGCCACTCAGTATCCGCTCAGCGGACCGCTGGGCTCGTTCCGGGCTCGTTTGCGTTGCTAGAAAAACAAAGCATCAGCTAGGAATCAGCGCTCCTACATGAATCAGGGCTGTCGTCTACGTCGGTGATCGATCGGTGGATAGGCAGACGTCGGAAGCAGGCCTGGAGCCCCTGGGACACCGCCGTCAAGCATGCGGGACAATGGGGGTGTGATCTGCGCTGTCGCCCAGCGCGTTCCACCCGTTGGCATTTCTCACTCCAGCAGACCGCAGCAGGGCGCCCAGCCAGTTGATTCAACTGAGTTGAAGCGGTCTGGAGGCAAATCTAGACTGTAACATGCAGCTGAGTCTTTGTCAAGCAGCTCAAATTGAGCCTCAATTTCACTGGTGTAACAATCCGAGGCCGTCGCCGCCATTGGATCCCCGGCGTAATCGCTCTTGCAGCGCAGACGAACAGCACCTCGCCGCGATGCGAGCGTCGGCGAGACATCATTGCGCCCAAGCTCTGCGCAACTCAAACTTGATACTGCAAGGCAGCGACACCCGGCCATGTGTGAATGCGCATGAAGAGCTGTGGTGACGTATCCTCGGATCCGAGATAAATGATCCTGTCTACTGCGATATTTATCCTTTGAAACTTTCTAACTGTGTCAACAGTCAGGCTTCAGTATTAATTGTCAAATCTGATATCTAGTGTTAGAGGGCAGCGTGGGACATCTAACCCGCCACCAGATGGGATTAAATCTGAAAATATAATTTAAATAAGTAGGCTACGACCTCATCAGAAATAGCATGTCCGATCACCGCAAAAACCAATGCCAGTATACTGATATAGATTAGCTTCACTTGGGGCCGGTGACAGCATTCGGTCAAGCAGGAGCAGGTGAGTCGCTTCAACCTCGCCCCTTTCGATGGTTTCGGTGCTTATATCTCCAGCGACAATTGTCGACTGGATCTACTCCTGGCCCAGTATTGTGCTCGCTGCTGCAAACAGCCTCTACAGACTACAAACCGGATAAGGTTGCACAAGTACTGTTCTACAATCTACAATCTCCATCAGCGTCGCCATAACGGCTACGACGCTTCGGCGGCAGAGCGACTGCTAACAGCTTCGACAGTAGAAGACTTTTACTAGCAGCGATGACCCAAGCGGGGCAACTGTAGGCTCAGCTAGTAGCGTGTAATACACGCTGACAGGCAGACTTGTAGCTGATTCCCATAGTGGTTGCAAGCCTGCCTTCAATACAGTAGCAGATCAGCCGTATAATACTGCCCTTTCTGCGGAGCGTTAAATGTTTACGCAAGATAGACCTAACCGCATAGTTCGTGCTTGAGGCTTGCGGCTTTCGCGACTTGATTTCAGTAAGGACTGAGCTGCCGCGCGACGATTGGCCATTTTCCTTAGATTCCAATTGCTCGAATTTTGTGCCGCCTCAACCCTTGCGCACATAATTGAATTGGAGCCCGCGGGACGAACAGCTTGGAAGCGACGTCTCCTCCCCCTCCTCGCTTCACCACGTTCCGGTGCAACAGTAGCAGCAGCAACAGGAACCACTGGCAGCCCCGCGACGACGGAGCGCCCTATAGCATCAGCAGTACACATTGGCCGGCAGCATGATTGTCGTATTCGGCAGCTCGAACGCCTTTGGACGCGACGTGAGCGAGATGGAAATGATGGTACTGGCCGGAACAGTCTTCGTGGTCTCTGTGCTTCTCGTGCTTGTCTACAAGCTGGCGCGCGGATGGGACGATCTGGACAAGGACGACTTTGGCGCCAGTGTGCTGCCGCTACACGCGCCGCGCGCCACAAACCGATGGGTCACCAGCCGCAAAACGCACTTTGGACGGCTCGGCACGATCCAGGAACACGAAGTCTTCTCCTTCAGCTCCAAGATGCGATAAGCGGCGCCACTCGCGGCGCTAGCAGAAGTAGTAGGCACAACAGATACAGATACACAGCATCCGCAGGCTCCAGTCGGGCAGCGCTTCCGCCCAGGGCCAGACAGCGACGACGTACGGTCGGCGTACTCGGTCGAAGGGTGCGCAACCTCATGTAGATTTAGATGACAGACAGTATTTAAGCCTCATCTCCGGACCGGACTCGTCTGGACGGTGTCGCTGGCAGCGAGGATACTTATCGCGGCCATAGATGTCATATTTATCAAGACGTTTCAAATTTGCTTGATTCTTGGGTCTCCCATGCTGCCGCTGGTTGCTGTCGTGTTCAGCCATCTCATCTAGCGTGCTTGAATTCGACATCAAGCCCACCTCCGCCGTCGCGCACGCACGCACAACGCGCAGTATCCAGCCGCGGCCGCATCTGGCGCGGCATCTGGAGCTTGGCAGTGTCGTCGTCAGCATCAGCATCCTCACAGCTCATGAGCTTTCGTCGCCAATTGCGCTTTGCCTCTTTGCCATCTCGTTACGTCGTCAAAGAAAGGGGTCGAGTGATCCACCATTAAAACTTTCACTTAGTGAAACCTGGTCGAACGCATTTTTCTTACCTAATTAAAATAATAAGAACAAATTTCAGACACTATCGTCATGGCACGCCGCCCCGCGCCGGGAGCTTGAGCAATGCGCGAAGACTCTCCTTAGGCTGCGACACGTTCCCGTATCCCTTAAAAGCACTGTCGTGGTAGACGCAGAAGAGCTGCGCTTTTTTCATCTCGGCCTCTACGATCAACCGGTTCACCGTTAGCATCGACGCATCCAGGAGAGTCAACTGCAGTAGCGAATAGAACCAGCACAACAAGATGGGTCAGTTAAGCTTTCACGCAACATTTTTTTCAGAAGTGCGGCATACCTGCTCCGTTGTTGATCCCAATTGCTTCAGTGCTGAGCGCTGAAAAGTCTCAACGCTCTGCGTAATCTTCAACTCACACGGCAGTATTTCCTGCTGATCTTTGGCCACTACTTCACTTCCTTGTTGTGCGGGGGCGGTTTCGGATACTGCATTGCTGCTGTCGCTTGCTGGGTCACTCAAGGTGGACAATCTGTCTGCCTCTAACGTTGCCTTTAGCTCTAGCCACTTCTTCTCTTCCTCTTCCAAGCTACAGACACAAAAGCAACACGTTAGCTACATTCATAATACGCAGTCAAGTCGCAGAAGTACCTCTTGATCTGCTGCTCGAACGTCTCGATTGTTGCGCGCATGCGGGCGTTTTCTGGGTTTGGAACTCTAATATATGACTTGAGAATAGCGCGTTAACTCATGATATTACACAAAGCAAGAGCAAAAACGTATGGGTATCGTACCACAACATTTCCAGGTGGATGATCGGCCATGAAGGAAATCAGCTCCTGCTTCATGGCCTGCAGACTCGTCTCACTGAGCTGCATAATGTCCCGCCGCGCTGTTGAGGTGAGGAATTCCTTCCTCACCTTGCGGAGCTCGCGTTTTACCTGACGCTGCACCATGTGGTAGAGCGAGATCTGGTCAGCCGACAGCTTCTTGTGCTTCATCTCCTCCTCATTCAGCGCCTCGCGCGTCGCCTCCTCGCGTTTTTTTTGTCTAACCAATCGTCGCATCTCGGCCCTTGCAGCCTTCTCCTGCTTGGCTCGTAGTGCTGCCGATACGGCGGCCGCGTCGACGGCGTGCTGTTTGCCCACATCCTTTTCGTCGTCTTTCCGAACACGAAAGACGAATGTGTTGTCCTTGGCGGGTGTGCCCGGCTTTCTTTTCCCTACAGGTGTGGCCTCTGCAGGCCCCTCGTTATTGTCCTCGTCCTTCTTATCGCTGAATTTAAAGCCTCGCCGAGGCCTCCGTTCGGAGTCGCTGCAGAAGAAAAAGAGAGAGGTCAGTTAGTCAGGCTGTTGGCGCATCACATACCGGTTCATTGAAGAAGCGAAAAGCGCACCTGGGGCCAGTGGCCTTCCGACGCCTCCGCTTTTCGCGTCGGACCACTAGCGACGCGGACGGCGCAGTAGCGAAAGGCGTTGCCATCATAATGAGGAGCTGCTAACTTTCGCGCCTTCTTTTTGAATGTTCAAACCACCCGATTGGTCGAAGGGGAGAAAATTTACTCCTCTCGACGATTGGTAGAAAAGGTCCTAGAATCCTCATTTTTTGCCCAATCTTTCTTCACGTTGTCTTCGAGTTGATGGTATTAAAAAAGTTGAAGTGTACCATGTAGCCCCAATCATACATTTTGCTTAGTGTTCGCTATTACTATGCGGGCTCGCAATACTGCATACCAATAAATACATGGCGAGATCCACGTCAAAGAGCACACCGAAAATCCGGGATATTGCGCCCTGTACCGACGTAGTAGTTCGCAACAACATCCAACATCCAATGTTCATGCCGCCATTGCCTGTGTTGAAGCGTGCGGCGGGGTGAAATGTAGCACGTCGATTGTGATGTCGTCGTGGTAGTCTCGCCTGTGTCCAGGGAGCACGTTCTCCAAGTCCGCCGCGCTCGTGCCGTAGATCTCGGCGATGCGCTCCAGCACAGCTTCGCGTAGCGCCTGGCTTACATTCTGCACGCCCTGGTCCCGGAACTGATCCACGAGCTGCACGATCTCCTCGTTCTTCAGCTCACCGAAGAGTCCATCCGACCCCAGTACGACAAACTCTGGCTTTCGATTCTGAAGGTCGACCTGGAAAATGTCTGGGACAGCTGGAGATATCATCAATATACTCCAGGTTAGTGAACGATGTGAGCCAAAAGTCAATAAACTCACCAGAAATGTAGGGTCGACGAAAACTGCCTCGGATGCGCAGGCCGCGTGGCATGGGATAGCGGTTCACATCCTTCACCTTCATGTATGTATCTCCAATGGAGCGAGTGGGCTGAAGTCGACCTTTGACGTAGAAGTTCTTCTGTCCGATTTCGCAAATAATGTCGTAGTCCTCTGGGTATAACGCACGCAGGCGGTGCTGTTCTCGCTCTTCGTTTGCGGAATGGTCAAATGTAATTTGTTCCACGCTGAGGGTTCCGTCGGACTCGCGATACGCCATGATGGCGCGACAATCGCCGCAGCTCGCAACGTACAGCTTCTTCTCGATGATTAGAGCCATCACTGCGCATGCACCTACCGAACATGACGACCACGACCCCTGTTCAAACTTGACCTGGCTACGGCGCTTGAACTCCTCCTCCGTATCCTTAAACCCCATAATGATGGAGTGCGCCACTGGCTCGTCGTTCTTAGTCAAGTGAGCACGGATGTTATCATACAGCTTCTTCTGGACATAGTCGACCGCCTCTTCGCCGCCGTGGCCGTCATAGCACCCGCAAAAGAATAAGGGAGTTTCAGTGCATCTGCCGGGACGCACGATTGAATCCAGCACGTACTGTGATCTGTCTTCATTCTTGCGGTTCGCTGCATAGCTGTCCATATCGTAGCGCCAAAACAGGGCTATGTCCCTGCTGGGTAGAACTTCCGAGACCTGTGGCGGTACCGACGTAATGGGGATATCCTCCAGCGGGATTTCGCCGAGTTCCAGCTTCTCCTTTGTCCACTCCGGTTGAATCATTGCGAACAAAGCGATAAGCATGGCGCTCCATGATGATCCCTGTGGTTGCGGTTTGTCCGAGCGGTTCGCGGACTGCTCCAGCGAAATGGCGCTGGTGACCTCTTTCGCGGAATCCATAGCCATCATGGTATCCGCCGGCTGGGAAATTTGGGGAGTCACCAGTGCTGCTGTTGTATTTGTGCTATCCTCGCTCGAAGAAACTGCGGTCGCGGTTAATGCTGACACCGCTCCCACAAGCGACGAAGAGTCTGGTGCAGTGGTAGCCGAGTGGATAGCCGTCGTATTGGAAAGTGAATCCATGGAACGGGCCTGTTTGGCCAGCGCCACGACGGCGCTGGAGGTGGTGGGCTTAGCCAACATTCTGCTGGGGATAGAAGCGCGTTTGATCCTGGTCTGCGGCTGCTGTTGAAGTTGGCGCTGTTGGCGCCGCGCCAGGGCTCGTTGTGCACTGCGGTACCAGAGCAGCGAGCGGTGACGGCGGGAGTAGCTGAGCATAGACATCTCCCACTGCCACGGATTTAATTCTTCAAAGTCGGAAGTGAGCTCAATCTTGCCCTGACAGTGAGTCGAGGACAGGAACCAGAGAGTTGTCGTGCAAATTGGTTAGTGGCGGGCGCTCAAAGCGCGACCCTGTTTTTCGAGCGAAGAAACGCGTGAGTGGGACTTGTGATTCGTTATAAGAGGTAGTTGTGTATGAAAAAATGTACAGGTCGGCGCTTTTAGGAGGGCGATGCGAAAACAGAGGTTTCCGGCGGAAATTGCTCCGCGTTGCTCTGTTTTGTGCGGGTGCAGACGCATCTACATTTTAGCCTCGGTAGATATACTTCTGCTCGTCGACGTCGCATGGTTTGGGCAACCGCAAGTCAATAGCAACGGCAGAGCGGTCTGAGCTGTTCATCGTGAATCCAAACGAGCATGAGCTCATGACCGTTTGGATTCCAATCTTGAAGTTCCCCCCATAGAAAAAAATCGATACTATATTCAGCCAATTACAACTCGCCATTTTAGATGGCGGCGTATCAACGCACTGGAATGCACTTCAATCATTACGCAGCGATACTTGTAGCCTGCGTTTTGCCCTTCCTCCTCCGCGAGCGCGACTGTGGCGGCTTTGGCGGTGTTTCGTCCGACGACTTTACGTTGCTATGCTGAGCGCTACTTTTCTTCCTACCCGCAGGTTGAGTGGGCTGCGTGCTAGCATTGCTGCTGCTCCTGGATGGCGCAAAAGTCTCGCCTGCCGCCTTCCGCGCTGCCTTGCGCTCTTTCGCCTTCTTCTGCTTGTTCTGCTTGCTCTGGCTGTCGCCAGCGCCATCGGGACCACTCGTAGCCGCAGCGGAGGCAACACCACCGGCGCCGGGATGGACGACTCTCCGTCGTCTTGGGTTACCACCCGTTGCTTTTGACCGCTTGCTGCGGCTTACACCACCAGAGGTCGCAGTGGCCGTCACTTGAGCCTTGGCCGCTTGCTCCCGTTCGATTTCCGCCAGGATCTGGCGCTGCTGTTCCAGAAACTCTTGTTCCTCCTGCAGCTTCTGAACATCGGCCAGTGAGACGTGATCGGGAGGGCGGAACAACCCCCAACTATTCACCGTCGACTGCGACCGATGCAGAGGGGCGACACCACCACCTAGTCGCTCCTTCGTCTCGCGCTCACGTGCTGCTGCAGCCTCTTCCTCTTCCTGGATCTCCTTTAATGTCTTCGGTCGAGGTTTTTGCTCGATCGTTGAGCCTGTCGACGGGCTGCTCCATGTTGGGGCAGCAGGAGTTGGGCACTTAGCACGAGCTCCCCGACGCGCAGGTTGCTTCAAGAACGCATCAAGTGAAAATGCCGTCACTTGTTCACGTTCGACGCCGTCGTAACCCAGCATGTGCTTTCCTGATACCGGCAGTGGTGAAAAAGAGAGCTGTGGGCTTGTGGACGAGAGGCTACCGATACTTGCCTTGCGCCGTCTTGGAGTTGTGCCATCCAGACTGGCCTTGCGAAGCGAAGACCCTGGTAAGGGGAATGCCTCGGAAAATGCATGAGGAGTGAGTGGGGTGGGGCTGAACACTGGCGATGCAGCGGCCACGGGTTTGCTCTGGGGTACCAAAGACTTCTCTTCGTCCACAAAGGAGGCGGCAGACATACTCCACGGGCAGCTGGTATCACCACCACGCGTCAATGCTGCCGCAGTCTTGCTGGTCAAGAGCGACGTCAGAGGCACAAACTTGCTGTTTTTGCTCTTGCGTCGTCCATTCGGCTTGCTAGAAGTCGCGGATAAATTACGAGAAGAGCTCTCCAAAAGGGTCACTGCCAACAAATCTTCATCTGTTGCATGTAAATCTTTCCGAGGTGCAATCACTGACGGGGTGGACCCACGTTTACTGGTGCCCTTCGTTGCAGATGACTGCTTGGTAGTTTTCTTCTCCTTGACAGGCTTCTCCACAACCCCAACTGGGGTATCAGCGCGTGCTTTCTCCTCTGATTCCAACTCCTCAGTTGGGGGAAGCATGATATCAAAGAGCGTCTCCATGCGATCTCGCCCCACTGCGTCTAACACGGCGTCCCAGTTGCTTCGCATGTACTCAAGACAGTACTTTTGCAATCGGAACGCAGCGTAGCGCTCGGCATACTGCCACACCAACGCGCAGTTAGTCACGTCCACGTATGCTGCAATCTTGCGCTCCACTAGCTCCACTAACGAGGGCATCACGTCCTGAGCAGCATTGCCTGCTACAGAATTAAAATCTGGGTGCACAGGTGCTACTAGGACCGCCGTGTGTTGATGTCCAGCTGCCACCGCCACGGCTTTCTTCACACCTGCGACTCGCTTTGGACTCGGCTGCCACGTGTTCCCGCGCCCATGGCCCAATACACCTTGCTGTCCGCAGCCCCACGTCACAAGATCGCCTTGCTGCGTGACGACAGCACAATGATCCTGAGAAGCACACACGCTTGCAACGGGGCCGTAACTGGCTAATGACACCATTTGTGGTGCACTGGGTGACGGCATTGGAGACGTTTTGCTAGTATGCTGATCTTGTGGGCTGCCACTCGGCTGATGTGAAAGTGCAGGTACATTGTGCCCCCAAGTGAACACAGAACCGCTAGCACTCAACGCAATTGAGTGATTCTGGGCGCACGAAACTCCCACAATGTCCAAGCCACGCTGCTTGCATGTGGGTACCCATGTATCGCACATGACGGCACCAGCCGCACTTGTCGAGGCGGCAGACGGGAAATTCACCCGACTCGGACGGTAGGACCCGTAGCCAAACTGCCATACCTGACCGAGACTGCGGCCGTTGTGAGCACAGCGTAACACTACACAGGAGTGCCAATCCGAAAGTGCGAGTTTTTCCGCTCGCACGGATTCGTAGTCGCCGTACACGACACACATAGGGTGTCGCGGGCGCAGTGCATCGACACAACGTGGAGTAGCGTCAGCCTGATCTGTGCCGTAGCCTTCTTTACGCCCAAGCTGACCCCGACGATTACTGCCCCACGTGTACACAGCACCATCCTCAGCATCAATTGCAGCGGAATGGCACCCCGAAGCTGCAATATCTGCCACCACGCGGAAGCGGAAAGCGTCAACACGCTTGGGTGTAAGGCGGCTTTGCGACGAGCTTGACTTCCCTGGATGTCCAAGCTGACCAAAGCTATTCGATCCCCACGAAAAAACTTGACCAGTCCGAGAGAGTGCCATGGTATGATTCTCACCGGCAGCCACCTTCTTCATAGGTGTATTTTGCAATGATGTTAGTCTTGTAGGTTCAACACGGCTGCCAAATAAATATAAGGCAAGAGGATATTTGTCAGTGACACTGGATAAGCGATTCCTTTAGAAGCATACTTACTCGAACTCATTTCCGGTGCCAAGGCGACCACCTTTGCCAAAGCCCCACACGAAGCACTCGCCCTTTGCATTGAGAGCAATCGTGTGGTACTTACTGGCACTTAGTTGAACAATTGGTGAGTTAGTCGGGAGCTCCACTAGTCGTGGCGTGACCTGCACATCTGCATTTGGCAAGTGATAGCCAAGCTGAAGGTTGCAAAAAAGAGAAGTAGGAACAATCAGAATCACGCAGAATCAAGGACTAGACCAAGCTCCTCGTAGCACCTGGTAGTCTCGCTTTCCGAACGTGTAGACGAGGCCTCCGTCACACGATCCCGCGGCATTTTCGTCGTTTTCTAAAGGCTTACGCCCCCGCTTCAGTATCGTGGACAACAGTTGCATGGGGCTCTGACGGGAGTGGTCACGTGTCTCGTGTAAAACCTTCCGCAATAATTTCTTGCCAAAGCGTGTCTGAGCATGGCGAAGGAGCAAGAGCGACGCTTTGGACAGAGAAGAAATCAATCAGCACAACACAGGCTGCAAAGCCGTAGCCAAGGGAGCACGTACTGGATAAATGGTGGTGATACAAACTGCGGTGTAATGGCGTCCAGCCAGACTCCTACTCGGTACCATACGACCCATGCAGAACAGGTCAGTTTAGGCGCCCCTTCGACGTGACAAGACCTCTCTACGCACCCAGTCTTCGGTCAAAAGGTCCGCTCCATGGCGAAGCAGCAGCAGCACTGCTTCGTCATTACCGCGTGCTGCCGCCACATGTAGTGCTGTCTCGCCATAGTCATTGCGGTCGTCGGGGGGCACCGTTTCTTGCAGCAGACGCGCCAGAGTTGGTGCCGCGTCGGGCGTCCGTGCGCAGTCCCACAAGTCATGCGCGTCATCGTGTGTTAAAGGCTGCATGCTTGCGTTGTCGTGTGGTGTGGTGGTGGTCGTTTCTGGCTGGCGATCTTCTCTCTCTCCTCCCCCTTTCGCCGCCTTAGGCCGTCATCGTGGTCACCATTTGAGGATTTCTGCCACTGACACACACTCGGTCAGCAGGACACAATAGTTTGCAATGTGCTTACAGTACTTTCCATGTTGAAGTGTCCACAAATAGTTGCCTTTTTCGACTATCATTCACTGTAAGCTTTGCCATCCAGGGATGGTCCGGTCCTCAGCACTCAAGCTCGCACGGACAAGCGACAGTGATGTGCCAGAAGCAGAAGGAGATCAAGATCCACCTACGTTCTCTCAATCCCAGTCTCCAGCCGCGCAGACTCTGACGCATTCCCGGCCTCGTGAGCCGCCGCCATTGGAGCGCGCCGTGGTCTCGCGCACACGGTTCAACATCTCGCTACCGACTCCCTCGCCGCTGCCTGGTGCAGGCAAAACCTCCTTAGGTAGCGAAGCTGACCAGCGAGGCTGGAGCAGTCCTCACGGCGAGCCGTACCGGCCCCTGGGTCGCCCCGAACTCAACCTCAAGTTTTCGCCGCATCTCGTTCACGGAGTTAGCCCTATGCTGCAGAATTCTCAACGCATGCGCGTGGTCGAAGGAGGGGGAGGCTTCGGTAATGGTGCAACGGGGGCAGGAGCCAGCTCCGAAAAGTATAAAGAGGTGCGTGAGGCTTCGTCCACCAGTAATGTGGGGGCATCGATTGTGACTCTCGTGGACCAGTTTGTAACGTCGATGACAAACCGAAAGCGGCATTCGGATGAACGGCAACTCAAACTCGCGCATCGCCTCCAAGCAAATGTAGATGGGTTTTCGCCTGGAAGAGTTCGTGGGCTTCATCGATGCAAACCGTTTGCACTAGAGTTCGCAGGGGATGAGCCACAACACTACCACCAAACTCTATTACACGGTGATGCATCTCTTCTCCTACTTCGCGAAGCCATCGAGGAGGGTACGAGGCGACTGAGATCAACGCGCAATGGCTCAAACTTTTTACATTTGCCTCCGCCTGAATTTCACGGACTTCACGAGCTCCACGAGCAGTACCTTCGTTCAAGAACAATAGCACCACAGCCACTGATGAGCAATGGGAGCAACAACGGAGGACCTAGAACCAGTCCTCGAATACTCGTTGGCTCTAAGACGTCACCGAGAAATACAACTCATTTCCATCGAGATGAAAGTGTTGATTATTTTGACGGTGACGACGGCCAAACCACCTGGTATCTGCCATACACGACAAGGCAGCTACAGCGTTCCCCACACTGCCGCCTACCGTCTCTAGAGGAGTTTCGGGTCCGGGTACGAGATGAAAAGGAACCTTTAAGACCTCTGCGAGCTTCCAGCAACACCAAAGCACAATCGTTTTCTCGTCGATTGAGAGTGAGCCGTGCATCCGTGTCATCAACTCGGAGCTCTATGGCACCTAACATTGCGGGGGGAGATAATTCTGACGACACATCCCAACCCAACGCGCCAGCTCTCGGCAAAGGCGCGTTCTCTCCATTAGTCATGACCATAGCATCGTCGTCACTACCACCTTCAGCACCACCCCTCCACAGTATCGAAAAACTGCAAGCGACAATAGACACTCTGGAGGCTACCAAACGCCAGCAATCGGCACGACTGGCCACTACGCTAGAAATGATCGCGCAAGATCGATGTGAGTGTCTTACCAACAAGTTCCGTAGCCTACGTGTGCGTTCTGAAGCTGTCGAGGATCTAAAACGAATGCGTGAACACTCTGAACGCAACCGTGAAGAGCGAGTGCTTGCAGTAGTGTCTAAGACTGCAGTCTGGTATCCAGAATTGCTACGCCGCCTGCTTGCTCGAGAAGGAACACCAAACGTTAACAGTGGGGTGCAATTACCTCTCCATGCCGCAGAGCTGTTTATCGTTCAAGCAGTGCGGAGACTCACCAATGACGGATGTGAATTTCAATCAGCTCAGTTGTTTGAGGTCCTGTTACTCTTGCATCGTGACGACTTGGAATTACTCCAAGTGCAACAACTTCTCGAGTACCTTCGCAACGCATTGCATATTAACCATGAAGAGTGGATACAATACTTTGCCGAACATGGACTCCCAGAACCTACTGACATTTTTGCCGACGATCGCAAGGATCCGCAAAACTCTGCCGACGGAAAAACTTCCTTCACAGCAGCAAGCACGGTACGAGTAGCTGCATCGATGGGTAAATGTAGGCAAATCCAATCACGACGCAGATAACTCGAGCGTAACGGCTAGTGTTTCTGCTTGTTAGTTCCGGACTGGGATCACATTCTTGTCCGCAGACCTGCTGGGACACTCTGCATGTTGCTTCCGCTTCAGTTCTTCTAATTGTCGCCTTTTGGTTGTCTCGATTTTTTCGTCAAGCAGCCGACCCAGAATATTGAGGAAGAGGTTTTCATCTTGTACGTCATCATCAAGCGCGCCATTCAGGATTTCAAACTCATCCTTATCATCTTCGGCGCCGATGAACGAAGATGTGGGAGATCGCGAACTGTTGTGGTCAATCACCATTTTGTGACCGTTGGATGGAGCACTTGCTGGAGTAGCTATTGATCCAGCATATCCGTTCCCCGCGTGCTGGACAGCATTTGAGAGAGCTTGCGAAGCCATTTCGTCCCAACTGAGCGAAAGCCTCTGTTTATTGCTTGTGCTGGATCCATCGGATGTTGAAAACTTTGAGCATACTTGGGCGTCGTCATCGTCTTCTTCATCTGAACTAAATGGAGCATAGCTTGCCCAAAAACCGGGGGGAGATTGAGCACCACTAGCAATAGGGGAGCGTCCAAATGATAGTGATTCTAGGCGTGGTGGGGAGTCAATTGACACTCGCAAATTCCGGAACGGTGCTCGTGGCGACGATGGTATAGCAATCGGTGCAGTCCCTTGCTTGTCTGCGACAGTCGGCTCGCTAGGTTTAATGACAGGTGTGATGGCTGGTTGCAAATGGGCGTGGTGAAATATTGCGCCGTTCTGCTTGCGCTGCTTGACAACCTGCAGCTGGTGAAACGCCTCAACGCACATCAGCTCTAGCGCGGAAGGCGCATCTAGATCCTCACGACACATGATGCGAGCAATCTCAAATAAAACGAGGTCTGCTCGAACTCCCTTCTGCACTACCATACTTGCAATAATCATGTTGCGTCGACACGCGCGTCGCAACGGAATCCTTTTCGCTAACCGATCTGCGTCTTCCTGGGCTGATAATGACAGCACGTAGGCTCGATCCTCAGCACTCAAAGGCTTTCGAAGCTGCGGCCAATTGTACCAGCACCAATCGCACCATCCAATCTCCAGGAACTGCGGTAAGCAGTAACCGTGGTCAATCGGTATCAGTTCGTACTCTACGTGACCCGTAGTTGGTGACCGCCGCTTGCGCACGAGAATGTTCGCATCATTGCGGTCCGTGTTTAACAGCCGCATGTCCAGAAGCACAATCTTGTGGACTTGATGGGTCGAAAATTGGTTTGGTGCGAGATCACTTACCACATCATCGTGTCGTACAAATTCCTGCAGCGAGCCAACCTTAAAGTGCAAGGCATCTGCACTGCCCGCGTAGTTGAACACAGGATGCCGCGACTCCACGAGAGATGTAGCTGGGACCCCAGCAAAATGATCCTAGTTATCGATAAGCACAAGAATTAATACTTGTTCCATGTACCAGAACACGGAAATGTTCTAGCACGTAGATACAAACACATATTCTCAGTTGTGTTAATACCTTGTCCAGTACATAGGCGGCAAGCTCACGTTCGCAAGCTTCTCCAGACAAAATTCCCCGACGAAGTCCACTCTGTTAGCCAAGTTCAAAACCGTGAGGGATATCATTCTCATGACAGCAACAATGTTTTGTTTACTCTGAAATGAATCCAAACGCACCTGACCCAGTTGCCCCACCAATCCGCGCGGATTATTTGGTCCGAACGGTTCTTCATCTTGAGGTTTAAAGCAGCCCACATTGCGGTGGGAAGGGTCCTTAAAGAAATACGTGCCACCAGTTCCGTCCATCGCTAACACTGGTGCAAGGCCCAATGCGAGGCCTTGTAGCGCCTTCACCAACGCAATCACAAGTACAATGTGCATATACCATCGTTCTGGTTAAGCAAATTCAGGTTGGAAAGCATGGCTGAACATACCTGGTGCGTGATCTTCATTAGTGCGACTGGAAGCAGATGCGCACCGTACGGGTGAATATTCACGACAGGCATTTGCTCCTGCCGCAGATTCTGTGACGCCTTGCCGTTCACGCGGGAAGTTGCTTCATTTTTCAAAGTGG